ACACCATAGTAATCCTGCCTGGGCGGGACGTGGCCGAGTGTGTTGCAGAAAACTGTGCGACAGGATCATGTCAGCAACACCAAATCAAAACACTTAAGCTCTGAAATAACACAAAGAAAGCTTTGATGGACTGACGTCATCGCTGATCAATAGATATACCATAGACTCAGGGCCGGACTGGGACCAAAAAAATGGCCCGGGCATTTTTCCTCCTTGACGGCCTACTCCTTCAAAAAATGCAAAAAAGTGGGGGATTTTTTCACGGTTATTTATACGCGGTCATGCACTCCTTCCTCGAACATTTCTCAACGGATTTACAAATTTCACAAAGATTAAATTTTAATTTTTTGTATGAGGCAGACAGACCAGTCCAAATGGGCGGCACGGTGGATGAGTGGATAGCACTCTCAGCAAGAAGGTCCTGGGTTCGAATCCCGGTTGGACCAGGGCCTTTCTGAGTGGAGTTTGCATGTTCTCTCCGTGTCCGCGTAGGTTTCCTCCGGGTGCTCCGGTTTCCCCTACCACTAAAAATATGTACAATAGGTCTGGCATGTGCCTCCTGTACCCCCACTCCCAAAAAAAAAACTATTGTAAACCGCTTTGAGACTCCGATGTGCAGTCAAAGAGGCGGTATATAAATAAAGATTACTAAATAAAAGATTACAAATATGGGCATCGGCCCTTATAAGGGCATTGCCCGATACGCCCGATGGCCAGTCCAGCCCTGCATAGACTGTATACGAATGTACAAAGCCTTATTGTGAAGTTCTTATAGGTGATATTATCCCATTCACTTACATTGAAAAGTAAATGTTTGTTTCACATTTTTCGCCATTTTAGGTAAAACATCCAGGTGGCAGTGGCTCAGTTGGTAGAGCATTGGCCTTTGGGCCTGAAGGTCATGGATACAATCCCCCCACGAGGCCTACTTCACGACTCTCACTGATGACTGCTGTCGTTGTGTCCTTGGGCCAGACAATTAACCCCACTTTGCCTGAATCTTCCGCTGAAAGATCATGGCTCCTGTGGACTCACTACCTGCAGGAGGATCAGAGAGGGGTTGGTGCTATGTGGACTGGGTTCAGCTCTGACTGTCACCCCCCTGACCCAGAAATGGATTAAGGGGAAGAAGATGGATGGGTGGATCCAGGGTTTACTGCTGCATGATCCTAAGGCTGAGATGTTTTTTTTCTGCCTTCGTCAGAGGTGACACATGATGTTACTGTATGTCTCTCATCAGCTGTTGTTACCGGATGCGACTATACTGTGAGATAAACTGACCACACCCCAGCCCAGATGCTTACAGGTGCTTTCTGTCCTCAAATCGGCTTTGACTAATGATTAGCAGGTATTGGTTCCTTGGTTCCCATGATGTTGCTAATTTTATTACTTTATCTATTTGACTGGGACAGTGCATGTCAATGAATGGTTGGACATATTGCCAGATTGTAGCCAAAGGATCATGTCCATCATAGGTTCCTTTTAAGTTGTACCTTTACTGATCCTTTAAGTTACCATTATGGGGTTTTGTCAGTGTGTCTGCAACAACGTTCTAAAAAAGTTATGGGGGAATACTTAAGAAAGGACCAGAGACAAATGATTAAAGTTTGGATTTGGACTGGAACTAGAACCAGGGAGTACATTTCTAGTTCTATAAAGCAATTGAGAAGATGGTCCACGAAAGAGTGAAGTACACCCAAGATGAGTTTGGTCCTAGAAGCTTCTGGATTTTTGGCATTTTCTCAATCGCTATTAATTTGTTATTTCTGCCTTTTTTCAAATGTTTTTATTTCCAAACTATCTGTTTACACCCGTTCATTTACTCAATAATCATAGTTAGATCCGCATTTAATCCGTAACAGCCACCTCCCTCTGAGAACAGCCATATGCACGCCTTCATGTTTTATCTGAACAACAGCTGACCCACAGTGGTCTCCGAGGCTCTGAAAGGTTACACACCCACCCACACGCACGCCCCCCCTGCTGGTCACTCATGAATATGCCTCTAATTGAATTCACATGAGACAAACAAGTGTTAATTGGCAGGATAACGATGAGCACTGCCAACTATTCAGACAGTGTCCTTCAGAAATCAGCAGCAGAGGCCTCCAGCTCAGCACAGGCCTGTTCTTCCCAGCGGGACGGGGTCTGTGGGGGGTGGAGGGGAGGCGGGGCGGGGGGCGCTAACGCTGCCTTTGTGCCGCTTTTCTTTAGGAGGAAGCAATAAAGCAATAAAAGGCTGTGGTGGTTTGAGTCCTGTGTGAAGGAGGGGCCCTCTCTGACAGATCATAACCGCTAACAACCAGCGCAGTGTGTGTCTGTGTGCGCGCCAACCTCTGAATCACTTTCCAATGAGTTCTCACCATTATCACTGCCCCAGACCTCGACCTGTAGCCGATAGGTCTTTCTCTTGAAACAAATGCAAAGTTGGTATGAATAAAGCAAACATCTATAATTTAAGAGAGGGACTTTTTTTGTGTGTGATGCTGAGATGCATTTGCTTGAAGATGAAATGACCTGAAGATGTTTTGATATTGCTACACTTTCATTTCATGCTTTATATTTTTGAAATATTGAATCATTTATGTTGCATTATTCCCCACAATATACTACCAAAACTGCTGAGATAAAAAGATTGTGTTATTATATTTCCTTATTGTAACCAGAAGCTTATTTAAACAGAACTGTCTAAACTTTTTTACATTGTCATAACACTGTATGAGAGGTTTTTTATCAATAAACTTTTGTGGCTTCTGTTGTGTCCTCTCCTCATATGTACAGTTTGTCTTGATGGACAATATCTGACACAAATACAGTATATGTTTTGCGAACAAAAAAATTCGGCACTATTCGAAAACATTGGAAATTCATTCAGTGGTATCTAATCGAAAGGACCTGAAATATTTTGTTAACTGATGTGCTAAAGAAAATATTGATTTTTAGATGAATATCACCACTTTAGATACAGGTAGGAATTTTATTCAGCAAATTTATTTCACTTAAAATTCAGGTACATAAGTTTAATTTTATACCCAAAAGTATAGGAGGATTTTTCAAAATTTTAGGAAAGATCCGCCCTTTCTACTTTTTGAACAAACTCTCCGGTCTTATTTGACGAGCACATGTCACCAGAATGATTGACAACTTGGAGGACCAATAGTCTTGATGATCCACTCGGAAGTAGAAAATCCTCCTTTATACCTTAAATATAAATTCATCAAAATGTTCAATCTTTTTGTTAAAATGAATGTTTTATTTTGGTAATCACAACAAAGATACAGTTCATACAACATAAGAGAATGGGACAAAAAGCTTTTAATTTGTGCTATGATTTTATTTTACTAAATCTTGTCATTGTTCAGAAATATATTGTATTGAATTGAAATTCAATACGAGATGTATCAAAACTTGCATATCGAGAAACGTATTGAATTGGCAACGTCAGGAGGATTCCCAACACAAGTCAAAGTCAGCAGATTACATACATCATGGATAATCCAAAATTATAATAATCTTCAGTAAGTCATCATAATTCATACAGCGAAGGTCACACAAAGTGCTTTACAATTTTTATCTATCAATATTTTCTATTCTCTCCATCGCATCGAAGCCACTGACCAACAGCATCCGTACATGTATTGTAGATGTGTTTCATGAGAGCGGACACCGGAGTACCTTGAGGAAACCTAAGCAGACACGGGAGAACATAAGATAAAATAGGAGAGATAACATAAAACTTTATGGATCTAAGATCACTCACTGTGTGCAAATAGACAGGAAATGTGCAAACATTGTGATAGATAAAAGGTTCTAACGTTAGCTCAGCGCTGCCTGTTTCCTCTGACTCATGTCGTATTTGTGCTGACGCACTCAGACGTAACCTTGCTCTGAGAAATGGCGGCTGTGATCACCTCCTGCAGTTGTTCATCTGAAAATAAGTCCTCATCCTTGGGCTCTCCAGTGGGAGACGCAGCGCGGCACTCAATCACCCGCCATGACCCTGCAGCATGGCACAAGTTCAAACCCTGCTGTCCGGCGAGCTTTGCCTTAAAGCTGTGGTATCTAACTTTCTAATCCAAAACAAAATTGATGTATTTATTACAAAAGTAAAGTATTTATTTCAAAACGTATATTTTTCATGCAGCATAACATAAAACAAACAGAAGATCCATGCAATTTAGTCACCTTTTTGTCATGTGTTTGCCAAAAGGGTAGCAATATTTACAAATTCAATACATTTTTCAGGCCCTAATCTTCTAACACTTAAAGTCCATGTTTTTCAAACACTTGAGACGTTACATATCTATACTATAAGTAAAAATATTAAGGTTATACAGTATTTTAGAATATTTACAGGTGTTCTCCATGTCTGTTTTCTCTTGTCTTAATTATTGCATAGATTTTTTTTAAGTCTGCAAAAAAGGAGTAGCTCTCTGCCTCGTCTGTTGAATAAAAGTAGCTCTCCAATTTAAAAAGGTTGGAGATCCCTGGTCTTGATGATCCACTCAGAAAAAGAAAATCATCCTATATACCGTTAACACCTTATTTTTGTGTAATTTATTGTTTTAATTCATGCGTGAAAGTTCCGGTCCTTGTTTCAAAGTCTTGTTCAGTTCATCATGGCAGCAAATAATGTGCTCTGAATGTAGTAAAGTGCACCTCTGAATATTTGCAGTGATTAATTTTGAAGCTCAGACTGAGTAGGAAGGAGGGATAACTATAGATGGTTAGAATCAACACATTTTATTTTTCAATACTTTTGAGAATACCTGCTAAAAGACACAAACAGTTCACGTTTATTGATCAGTAGTCACTTGGTATGAAGAACAATGTGTGTCTAATGAAGTATTGTGTTTTTGCCAATGCATTTGGAGATATTTGTGCATTCCGTCTATTTGCCTGTGGTCATGTGAAAATAAGTCCTTGTGTCTAATGGACACTAAATCACACAGCAGCAGCAACTTGACCCTGAGTTCAAAGCAGCACTATCACCCACAAGAATGTGTCCAATCACCCCCGTGTCCCTCCGGCTCATCACGGGCAACTGTCTCCTCGTCCCCATATATCAGAGGCGAGCGGCGGCCGTAAAGCGGATTACTCAGCTGGAGACCGTGCATCCACTTCCACCATTAAACAGGATTCAGGTGGGCCGTCCTCCCCTCACCATAGGTGTCCGCTGAGTAATGGAGACCCCTGTGCCTCACGCTGGCCTTTCGTATCTACTGTACAGCGCTCGTGCAAAGTTACCAAACTTTTATATTTTTTGATTGTCCGAGCATAAAGTATCACAATTGGCCGCCAAAGCAGAGACAGAGACATGGGAAGATGAACAGTCAAAAGTGAAATTAATTTACAAAAACGAAAGCAAGTGGAGAGAGGGATCTGCCTGGCAGGATGTGTAAAGGACAAGGTATACAGGAGGATTATCCCAAGTTTTAGGAAAGAACTGCCTTCTCTGGTCTTATTTGACAAGCACGTATCACCAGAATGATTGACAATTGGGAGGACCAATAGTCTTGATGATCCACCCGAAATAGAAAATCCTCCTATATAACTTTGTCACATGTTTGTAAGTTTTATTTACTATTTTTGTCTTGTGTTTGAGGCCATGCATGTATGTGATAACTAGTGATAGAACCAAAGAGCTTAAATATTATTACATTACAGGTATGTTTGTGATAATAAATATTCTCCAGGTTTTATTATGTAAATGTTCAAGCAGAGTTTTATTCATCAGACTATTTTTTTTAGATAGTTGTTGCATAGAAACTCACAGACGAATCAACAGACGAATTAAGTTCAACAGTTGGAACTTAAATAACCTTTATCAGTTATGAGTAAATCTCAAATGTTGTTTCAGAAGTCGCCTCTTTTTCTTTTTTCTGTCAGGAAAGGACGTGACAGACACCAAACTCACATGAATATATAATAATAATAATAATAATAATAATAATCTTTATTTGTATAGCACTTTTAAAAACAATGTTTACAAAGCGCTGCACAGTCAGCATAATAAAAATAATAACATAATGCAAATAGTGATGGAACCAAACTGTCTGACTAGATCGATCGAATTATATAGTTCCACTTTTTACATAGTCCTGAGCTTTAAGAAGTCACACAAAATTAACTATAAAATGAGGATGTTAAAGATGGAATCGGTGGAGCAAAAAGCATGATTTTAGTTTGTCTTGATTGCTGATTGTGAAAATAAATAAACACTAAAAACAGTGACAGGTGACTGGAATGTTGACTAAGACAAAAAAATCCCCTCGCCCAATGCATGCAGCCCAATGCATGAGTCCTCTGTTAGCTGTAAGTGGTTCTGCCCAAACCCGGAGTTTGACGTGAACTGTTACAGAAGTGTGAAATTATTCTTGCACGAAACTCAATCTATTCCCCCATCGTCACCGGGCCCAGTCCTGTTTGATCCTGCCATCTTGGATTACGTTCCCCGAACTCCAAACCCTCTCCTCTCACTCTCCTGTACGGAACATAAACAGCGAAACTACTTTATCTTTTCAGACCAAATCTTTGAAGACTGAAGCAGAGTGAGTCTCTTGGGGGGGCTCAGGTTTGTCATCAAAGACCTCCTACAGGACTTGCGTGGAACATATTTTGACCTAAAGTAAAGGAATGTTCATGTGGTCGGTGGTGGGCTACTGTAAGTTTTCATAATATTTTAAAGTTACAGTCTAAATGGGGAATGGATTAGAATCAAGCCCCAGTGAGATCCAAGATGGCGCCCCATTTATAATCAATGGCTTGTGCTCAGAAGTGCATGGGACCTACTGGAGGACCGAAAGATTAGTGGAAATTGGCCTTATTTGGGCATCAGCTGGTCCTCCCGGTTCTGCGCAGTGGATAAGCTCCCATGATGCTTTGCGCCAAATATGCGTGTGTGGCTCTCATGCACGTGCATAGAGGGGTAAAGCCGTGTTTGGCCAATCAGAGCTGCGGATCAGAGCGGAGCTAGAACGGGAGCCAAACGAGCAGTTTGTTGCATTAAAGTGTGGATTTAAAGAAAACCAGAAAAGGTTTTAACAAAAAAAAAGAATCTAAAATTGAATACAAAATAATCCACTATTTCTCATGTTGTTGTATTGAGATTCCTGTTTAACCATCCACACATTTTTGGTCACTTTCTTTGGGCAGAACACCTGAAGATGCAGCCGGGCTCGGAAAATAAAGGGAAATTCCCATGTAGTGGTGCTGCGTCCCAAGAGTTACATGGAAAAGGCATAGAGTGTGTAATTACTGGCCTGAAATACACTTGCCTCATTACAGACCCCACACAGAACCAGTGTCACCGCACCAACAAGACGAGAAAACTCAAATTATCAATGACGTCTACGAAGGAAATAGCTACTTCTATAATTGCAAATCAGTCTTAAAGTTTTATGGACAAGTTTATGTTGTTCCAAAGTGGCATTTCGAATTACGCCATGGGCACAGCGTGGTCCAACATCAGAAAGTAACATAAACCACATGTGCAATCATTACATTTTTTATGACTTGCTGAACTTAAGTCTAAGACAAACACGAGCCGATGCATTCTGTGTGTCTCCCTCCATCCCACTCTTCTTTTCATTTTATTTAGTCAGAAGTATAAGTCAAGAGGTAACACTATGTGGCCTTATGTGCAACTACAATGTGCCAAATATGGTTTTAATTTGTTTTACTATTTATTATTAATATTTATCTATGGTTTTTAGACACATTTAAAAACAAATTACAAATTGCAACACAAAATGTTGTAAAATGTCCATATGGTTTAATTAATATATACTTGCTATACTACTTAATGTTTTGTGAGGTATTTATTGGATTGTTTGATTTTAAGTCAAGTCATTTGTTTATATATGCAATAATATGAAAGAAAAGTACAGAAAAGAAAATAGCCCAAATGGGAGTTGGCAGAAACTGGAACAGCCCACCCCCTATTGCCAATCAAATGCACAACACTTAGACATACATTAATATATACATAATACACATTCATACATACATATACTATCTATACATATATATAAATACATACACACATACATACATACATACCTTTCAATCCATTCAAACTGTTTCATAATTGGACAGCTTTGTGTGACCATTCTTAGTGACCATCATGTCTAAAACTGTGAGTCCATAGACCCAGAACTCCTCTATCTCTCCGGCTAAGGTCACCGTTTGAAATTCTCTGGCCTGTGCCGTAACCACAAAATATGCTAAGAAAAGGTTATCAGCCTCAAAGTAATGACTTTTATACAAGACCTCTAATGGAAATCTGTCATTAACGTTTGATAATATGTATGAGCATCAGCAGGGGCTAAAGTTCTGAAGAAGTGGCTGAGTTCCGTCACTTTACCTTTGGAAAGATGCCAAAAACTCATTCAATATCACATGACGGTCTCCTACGACATTTAGTCATTTCTTTATGGTTTTACAGCTGCAATAGATGAAAGGAAACATTGTGCCTTTTAAACTGACTCATTTGTGGCTTTTAGTAACAAAATACTGCATTTCGTAGGGTTTTGCCTTTACCCCCTTTGTCCATCAGAACTGACTGACAGAAAGATGGCAAACTTACATTCGATGAATCAAAAATATGATTCAGTGCAGTCGAAAATATGAAAACCCAGAGTGTGTAAAATAATTGTGGGTTTATTCTTGGGCTGGGTAACCACAGTAAAGTATGCGGGTCCTCCCTTTATTTTAACTTCTCCCCTTCTTTGCAACTGTAATTATCCAAATATGTTTTTTTATAATATCCACTGCAAATTTTACTCAACAAAAAGTCAATATCTAATACATATGTTTGAATTCTTTTTGTACATGGGTCAGTATTATAGCTCAGTACTGGACACATTCACCCGTGGGAGTCCGTAACACTTGAGTGCGGCCCTTGCTCCGGTTTGTATCCAATCTAAGTAACTCTAGCTGTTTTAATTCCGGCTTTTAAGTCTTTGCTTGGCCCCACGCCTTCAGGCAACATGTGTTTGTTTCGTGACTTGAAAGCATCCTCCTCCTGAGCACAGTGTCTTTTTACCAAAATATAGAAATGAAACTCTAAATAAACCTGGTTCTTCATAAATATAAAGCAGAAAGCAATTAGTTTTGTCTGCAGTTGAGTTAAAGAAGCAGTATGTAAAAATCTGTCCAAAAGTGGCACTGCACTCTCCCTGACTCAGGTTGCCAGATATACAAACAAATCAAGCTGGGACCATGAAATCTGAATATAGAATTTTGTCAACAACAAATCTATAACCAACACCTTTTCACAAAGAGAGAAATACTCGTTTTATTCCTTTTGTCATAAATGATTTGAGAATCATAACGGGACTTTTTTTAGTTCTGCGGCCACATGTTACTTTATCAGTGAGATTAGCTCGACCCGGATCACAGACTTTCTGATTGGTGAAACGGTGGAGGGCGCGATATCGAAATGAAAACAAAAACGAGACTTACGGGCTATGAAACTCATTTTGAAATCCAAATATCTCGGCTGAACCACTGTTATCAGTTAAAGAAGTAGTGGAAAAGAGCAGGTTTATTAATGCCTTGTGACAGATCAGGGCCATTTAATGATGACTTGACATGAAAATCTTACACATTGCTACTTTAAATTCAATTCAATACAATTCATTGTTGTATTGCCCTAAATGACAGAATTTAACACAGATCAGAGAATCAAACAGTTAAAACACAAGAAATGCACATTGGTCTCTAAGGGGCCAAGTCCATAAATGTCTTTGAATGCCGAGTGTCCTGGATCATCCCCACTGTCCTTGGACCTTCCTGCCGTTGTACAGTTTTACGTAAGGAATGTATTTGATTTATCCTTCTTTGATTCCCCAACACCACAGTGTGACGTCATGTTCAGAAAGTGCACTCCAGACACCTCTTGGATTATGTCGTCTCAGTGTTTCAGCTCCTCTGCATCACCGAGAGCTGAAATCTTCCGTTTGATGCGTTTACAGATGACAGCTCGGCTCTGCTGGTGACTGCAGCTCTGTCTGGGACTGTATTGTGAAACGGGATGATTCACTGGAGCTGTCAAATCTCATTCAATCATTTGCTGAAGCTCAGAATGATAACACGAAACATTGTTCAAAGTTCTTAAACGAAGACGGAGGGAATGAAGGAAGTGGAAGTAGATTCTTGGAGACGGGAAGAGCCTCACATCAAACTGGATTCAAACAGCGTTAACTATATTTCTGTGCATTATGTGAAGTTGGAAACATTCACCTACAATGGCCGCAAGCAACAACACATTTTACTCGTATCACAAATCCAAACAAAACAATGGGCCGATACATAAATACATTTCTGCTCTAACATACTTTTCCCTGTGCTCTAAAATGCATTTGCTGTCCGTGTGTCAATAGTGCTTGATATTAATGGACTGGTTTTTCACAGTCATTGCGTCCAGGTTCACATTTGTCTTGCTCAAATCAATCATGACTTGGTTTTCACAAGTGCCTTAAAAACGCTTTTTCTGAACTTGACCAGTCCTGGGTCCTTTAGACCACTTTAGGGTATTTTTCTTCTACTTTTAATCATCTGTGGCAGGTCATTTTGACCCAAGGGTAGCCAAGGGTTAAACACCTCGTCATTAAATGATGCTGTCTTGAAACAGTCGTCTGCGACATTACTTATTTTATTTATTTATTTATTTATTTGACTGGGACAACACACATTAATGAACAATCATATACAAGTTGTACACAAATTGTAAATGTGCCAGATTGTAGCAAAACTGCTACTTTACATCCATAGTCCCGAGGCAGGTCACACAACAATGAAACATGAAACATGAACATGAAAACCTGTGTCTTATAATCAAGTGCAGCCTTTATGTGGACAGAATATTATTATATAAAATGTCTTTTAAAATGTTGCTGGGACGGCTTATTTACAGGTGTGCCATATGGCCAAGACAGTTTGGTATTATACATGTTCTATTGTAAACATAACACAGTATACTTTACACTATTATGCTAATCTCAATCTTGTAATCTTGCCTTCAATTATCAAATCCAAACAGAGACCACGTTTCTCTCATTTCTCTTGTTCGTACATCTGTGTTTCTGTACATTTTGTTACACAGGAGCATTCCACATCTGTCTCCCATCTATTTGTATGTTTGTCTTTAGTATCCCAGTGACACCTGTTCAGCTGCATGTTTATTGTTGCTCTAAAGGATTGCCTCAGATTTTTCCGGCCGCAGTCACTGTAATTCAATACGCTCAAGTGCCTTACAAACGATGGGTTGTAAAAACGTGACTGCGGGGCCACAGACTCACGTACAAACCGTTTTTGTTTCGACATGAGAAAGTGCGAGGATGCTGGGTGTGGGGTTAAAAGAACGACACTGGTCCAGTTACGACGTCTGCGGGTCGAGTTATGTGGTTCTGTCTCTGGATTAATATGAAAGTTAAATTAGACTTGCTCTGGAAAACATGATCTTTCCACTAAACAGGCTCTACCTCAATTATTTACTCATTATTAGATAAAAGCATTGTAAAAAAAAAAACAAATAAATAAAAAAGCAGATAGAAATCAAAAGCAGATGCAGAAGACTAAAGACAATACTGGATCTGAAGAGACGAGGAGCAAGCAGATAAGTAAGATAAGATAAGATAAGATAGACTTTTTTGATCTCACAGTGGAGAAATGTACATGTCACATTTGGCATAGATAGAATCAGGTTTTTATTTAACCTTTATTTAACCTTTAATTAACCAGGAAAGTCCCATTGAAATTAAGAAGCTCTTTTTCAAGGGAGTCCGGGAGCCTTCCTGGGTCATAAAATATAAGATGGAATAGCAAAGAGAGACCCAGAAAACTAAATAAATAATAAATACCACAAGAGCTGCATGCACTACGGATTAAGACAGTTATCTGCAGAGAAGGGTTTTATTTATCTTCATAATTGTATTGTTTGTAGTATTTTTTCTTTTTTTCAGGTCCTTGTGCCAAATGATTCCCCGCTGAAAAAGGGTTTTGGATTAGACCAAGGAAACATGGACGTTTTGGTTTTATTTTACATGTGTTCTAGATATTTAAAGCAACCCCCTTTTTAAACCAATAGCTTTAACCATGTTTGTATAAAAGTAGTGCATGCTGTAGAATGAATAAAAAAGAAACAGTTAAAGGAGCAATATGTGAAAATCTGGTCAAACGTGATACTGCACTCTCCCTGACTCAGGATGCCAGATATGCAGACGAGTCCAGGTGGGACCATAAAAGCTGAATGGACAATAGTTTTGTCTACAACAAATCTATAACCAACAACTTCTTCACAAAGGCCTCGAAAGAAATCTCCATTTGAGAATCATAACAAGACCTTTTTTAGTACTGCGGCCACATGTTACTTTACCGGTGAAAATTAGCTCGATGCGGATCACAGACGTTCTGATTTGTCAAACGGTGGGGGGCGTGACATCGCAATAAAAACAACAACAAGATTTAGGGGCTGTAAAACTAATTTTGAAATCCAAATATCTCGGCTGAACTACTGTTATCAGTTAGAGAAGCATTGGAAAAGAGCATAGTTTATTAACTCCTTTGACGGATTAGGGCCATTTAATGATGACTTAACATAAAATTCTTACATATTGCTACTTTAAAATTGTGGAACACATTACTGAAGAAATTATCCAGTCTCACTCACAACTTACAAATGTGAGCCTACATTACAAGCTGCCACTTAGTAAAATAATAATAATTGGAATCTCTGTCAGGAAGCCCTGCCATACATCATACATAATGACAAGTTACTCAAAGACATTTCAATGGAACCTGCTGAACTTGAAATGTAAGTAAACATATGAAGCAAGAATAAGTAGTTGTGTATTATTGTTCCTCCACTCTCCAGACTCCCCTTTATTTAGCATCTGTGAAAGTTTACGCACAAATGTTCTAAATAAGCCTGGAGAGTTTCTATGTTTAAAGTGATAGTAAATTGTACAGCCTTAGCACGGAGCCCTTTTATTTTGAATATCTGTTTTATTTCTTGCTGGATGGATGGACCATTGTTACCGTACCATTTCTTTATGTAACTACAATTTATACCTTGTCTTATTCACCTATAGGTTAAAACTTACCATTATTTATCCAGTATTATGCTCATTATATGTATTTTTTTATTATAATCTACATATTAATAATAATGTTGCACAATGCACTGTTCCACACACACACACACACACATTATTTGTTGTATCCCTTAAAATATGTATCCCTCCACATATTCTTGTTTGTTTGCTTGTTGTATGTATGTTCTTTTTCAAAATGAAATAAAGCTTAAAAAAAATTAAAGAAAAAAAAAAGAAAAAAGTCCAAGTATTTCTTCCGGGACAGAGGTGCACGATGCCAGCTAGCTTCTACTGGCTTAAACTATTCAGACTCATCTCCGAGCTTTGGTCTTAAACTGACTTGGTCTTATACTTTTGTTTTCTTTACACACTAGCACTACTCCTTCATTTATTTTTCTCTTCACCCGATGTGGTTACCTAAATCTTCCGAAATAGAGGTTGTCATTCTTGAGTTGTAAATGACGTGTATTGCCCAAGTGTATTGCCCAAGGACACAACTGTTGTAATTTGTAAAAGCTGGCACTCACTAAAAATCAAGTTTACATGCTTGATGTTTTCTTCCCAGCTTTTGGACGGTTGAAAGGCTGTCAAGGATGTCATTTTTCTAGTTTTTTAAAGGAGATGTATGTTGAGGAATTAAGGGCATGTGTCTGCCGCTGAAGCAGTTCCACAAAAGTATGATGGATGAAAATCACAACAATAATTTCATTTGAAAAATACAAAGGCCCTTCTCAAAAAAGATCTGCTGACATTTTACCTGGACAGTGTTTAGGTGAATACATCTAGAACTGATTCCTTGCATTTTAGTATTTTTTCCAGCATTTTCTAGATGTAAACATACTTCTGCTAACATGTACAGATGTAAACATACTGCCGCTAACATTTACAGATGTAAACATACTGCCGCTAACATTTACAGATGTAAACATACTGCCGCTAACATTTACAGATGTAAACATACTGCCGCTAACATTTACAGATGTAAACATACTGCCGCTAACATTTACAGATGTAAATATACTGCTGCTAACATGTACAGATGCTAACATATAACAACATATGGCTTGCACTAAAATACACAGTACTTTATACTTGCCTCTTACTTTGATAGAGATTTTATACTTGTTATTTGATGCTAGAGTTAGAGAGTTTCTTTTATTTTAATTAATATAGCTATTTTTCACTTATCTTCCTCTTTCCTTCTGTTCTGTAACTTGTTATGCAACATTGAAGTTTCCCCGTTGTGAGATAAATAAATAAATCTTAATGTTAATCTATGAATCTCTTAATCATTCCATTGTCAAATGTAAGATTATGATCCTTGTCTTTTGAATAGCTGAGTCTATCGGAACATTCGGAGACTAATGTTTTTTTGTGTGAATGGGGCTCACAGTGCGAGTTCCGGTGTTGTGTTTCCTTTCACGGGACCTTCGCTCTTTCGCAATGAGTTCAGATTTGTTTCTCCCGATAAACCTGAAGTCACTAGAAGCCACAGAAGCCGCTGCAGGTGACATGGCAGCGGTGCAGAGCCGTGTGGAAGTGCAGGTGTCCCCTCTCCCCACACCTCGGCCTGGACCCAACACCTTTCACAAAAACATCTGGCTCTGCCCCACATCTGGAAGCCTACACGTTTCTCCCCAATTAGCGCTCCTGCTCGCTCCTCTGTATTCCCATGGAGCGCTAGGTTGGACACAGAAAAAACATGAAACAAAACCAATTTAAAAAGTCTAATCTCTTCTTTTTTTTGAGTTTATTTTTACAGTCCCCAGCTGGGTTCATAGACGACTGTGTGGAAGCAATCATGAAAGACCGAGAAATGATGTCCGAATGCTACAAAGCCTCAAGGACACACTGCGCCGTGGTATAAAGACCCTATTGAAAAGATCTGAATGTTTGGGGCAATTGGCTCCAAATGGCGGTCTGCATTTGTTTTTATTTGCTAAAGACAGGGTCGTGTTGTAAAAATAGTACCACTCGTGCCTGTGAAAATGTGCTATACCCGCTGATCACTAGACCTCAAGAGCCACTTCAAAGTTGGCCGGGATTTAAAAAAGCCAAATAAGAAAAGCCCAGTTGTTTTTTCAAAGTCTTTGTTTTGTTAAAGGATTGTCTTACAGCCATGTGCCAGGAATTATCCCCCCCCCAAATGCCTTTATACTTTTAATAGTGTTGTTGTTGGGGAAATAATGTTTTAACCGTGTGCTTGATCCGCCTGTCGTCTGAGTTTAGCTGTTTTGGAAAGTCGCTCTCGGACAGACGTACACAATAAAACTATTAACATCCACGCATGGGTAAGACATGGTTTGGCCTGTACTGTACTTTGAGCTGGCTCCATGCTGAATATTACACCCACGACATCGGTCTGTTTTGTCGAAAAGCAGAGTCGGTTCACATGGTTTTGATATTTGGGATGGCCTCGGCTTCTACGACAAGAGAGGTATTTGAGAGGGGGCAGTTGGCGGTCTTCTCAGGGATAAAGGCACGATTCGTAAGAGTAGTAATCAGTTTTAAACAGTACAAAAGCCAATAATAATAACCAGGATCCAGTCAAATCAAAAAATCAATATAGGGTTGAAAAGATGAGATGAACGACCTGGAGACAATAAATGCTTCTCTTATCTTTTTTAGTTCCAACCCCTCATACAACAGTAAGTATGTAAGTAAGTCATGTTTATTTATATAGCCCATTTTACAGACCATGGTCACCCAAAGCACTTTACAATGTTCAGAGTTCAGATATTTTTTCATTCTCTCTGTGATGCATGAAGAGCACAACACCAACCCCATGTTTTTAATGATAGGGGAAACCGGAGCACACGGAGGAACGCATACACAGGGAGAACATACAAACTCCACACAAAAGGCCTGGAGATGGAACACAAGCCACCATGCCGACCCACAATACAATTCCAACCACACGCATACCATTGAAGGATTTTATCTTTACTCTTTTTAATGCATTGCTGCTATTTATGATCTTATTTGCAATTTGGTTTTAATTAAGTTTTATTGTTTTGTTTTGTTTTTGTTTTTTGTTTTTATCTTATTTTCAATCATATTTTTTTGTGTTTATGTAGATTTAATTTTTTATGATTTATACTTCATAAATCTTGTGTGGGAAAGGCACTCTAAAAATAAAAGTTGATCGATTAAAAGATGCAGTAAGTGATTTTGTTATCTTAGCCGTAGCACCAATTCGAAACCACTCCCCCCTCCCCTCTCCTCTCCACCAAACCAAACATCCAGCATTTTCTTTTTTTTGTCACAACAGGGACAGTGGGTGGCAAACATGAAATTGGCATTTTCTGTTCAGTCATTTTAGGTTTTAGGAAATCCGATAACTCAGGTGCGCACACTCGCAAGAAACAGGAAGAGGGTGAAGGGGGTAAGCACATCCCATTGGTTCATTGGGGATGAACGAATCCCATTGTTTTTTGCTTTTTTCCTCAAATATTTTTTATACATTTTTTGAGACCATAGGCATCTGGTCAATTCCATCACTGTTTGAAAACACATGATAACTTAACTACTATTAGGGTTTAGAGACAATTTCCCACAACATCTAAAAGAAGACGTCTGGAAAAAATCACTGACTGCATCTTTAATTGATTTATGTAAATTGATTTTGCATTATAAGTAAATATTGATCATTGCCATCCCCCCTGAAACGAGTTATATTACCAAATCTGTCCCTCTTGTCTGTTATCAGTCTATTTCAGGATCTTGGTGGCTACTGTCAAATGTTTATGAGTTTTGACTGTACCATCTTTGACCCCTCTGTCCCCGCCCAGTCCACTCACCACCCTGTCCCGCTGATGGATGTCGCTGCCCAGGGCTTTCATCAGGACCACAGACACTGTTTGGATCCGGGACGTCCCGCCTGCGCCTCCTCACCTGAAGATAAAGCAGCCTCCCTCCTCCTTCACACATCATACATCAACTTTATACCGCGTGACGCAAAGCATGCTGGGTGCAGGACAAGATGGATGTTTCTAATCTAAGCAGTAAACTCATAAATTATCAGGATGTATCTAACCACGCGCATACGGAGGTGAGTTATATCTGATGCTGGAGTCTGTAGTTTACAGCAGGTTGAGTTTGTGCCGTTTGACCCTGAGCTGGAGAATGAAGGCAAATGAAGACAATATACAGTCGGACAGAACGCTGTGGATTAAAGTAGTGATTCTCAAAAATAGAGGGCGCCAGATACTAAAATAGAGTGTTTGGAGTGATTCCAAAAGGAAATTACAAAAACGATTTAATGTGCATGGCTAAATGTTAGTACAGTGCCTTGCGAAAGTATTCGGCCCCCTTGAACCTTTCAACATTTTGCCACATTTCAGGCTTCAAACATAAAGATATAAAATTTTAATTTTTTGTCATGAATCAACAAGTGGGACACAATCGTGAAGTGGAACGAAATTTGTTGAATCATTTAAACTTTTTTAACAAATAAAAAACTGAAAAGTGGGGCGTGCAATATTATTCGGCCCCTTTACTTTCAGTGCAGCAAACTGACTCCAGAAGTTCAGTGAGGATCTTTGAATGATCCAATGTTGTCCTAAATGACTGATGATGATAAATAGAATGCACCTGTGTGTAATCAAGTCTCTGTATAAATGCACCTGCTCTTTGATAGTCTCAAGGTTCTGTTTAAAGCGCAGAGAGAACCATGAAGACAAAGGAACACACCAGGCAGGTCCGAGATACTGTTGGGGAGAAGTTTAAAGCCGGATTTGGATACAGAAAGATTTCCCAAGCTTTAAACATCTCAACTGCACTGTGCAAGCAATTATATTGAAATGGAAGGAGTATCAGACCACTGCAAATCTACCAAGACCCGGCCGTCCCTCCAAACTTTCATCTCAAACAAGGAGAAGACTGATCAGAGATGCAGCCAAGAGGCCCATGATCACTCTGGATGAACTGCAGATAACTACAGCTGAGGTGGGAGAGTCTGTCCATAGGACAACAATCAGTCGTGCACTGCACAAATCTGGACTTTATGGAAGAGTGGCAAGAAGAAAGCCATTTCTCAAAGATATCCATAAAAAGTCTTGTTTAAAGTTTGCCACAAGCCACCTGGGAGACACACCAAACATGTGGAAGAAGGTGCTCTGGTCAGATGAAACCAAAATCGAACTTTTTGGCCACAATGCAAAACAATATGTGTGGCGTAAAAGCAACACAGCTCATCACCCTGAACACACCATCCCCACTGTCAAACATGGTGGTGGCAGCATCATGGTTTGGGCCTGCTTTTCTTCAGCAGGGACAGGGAAGATGGCTAAAATTGATGGGAAGATGGATGGAGCCAAATACAGGACCATTCTGGAAGAAAACCTGTTGGAGTCTGCAAAAGACCTGGGACTGGGACGGAGATTTATCTTCCAACAGGACAATGATCCAAAACGTAAAGCCAAATCTGCAATGGAATGGTTCACAAATAGACGTATCCAGGTGTTAGAATGGCCAAGTCAAAGTCCAGACCTGAATCCAATCGAGAATCTGTGGAAAGAGCTGAAGACTGCTGTTCACAAACGCTCTCCATCCAACCTCACTGAGCTCCAGCTGTTTTGCAAGGAAGAATGGGCAAGAATTGATAGAGACATACCCCAAGCGACTTGCAGCTGTAATTGCAGCAAAAGGTGGCGCTACAAAGATTTAGCGCAAGGGGGCAGAATAATATTGCACGCCCCACTTTTCAGTTTTTTATTTGTTAAAAAAGTTTAAATTATCCAATAAATTTTGTTCTACTTCACGATTGTGTCCCACTTGTTGTTGATTCTTGAAAAAAATTAAAATGGGTATATCTTTATGTTTGAAGCCTGAAATGTGGCGAAATGTTGAAAGGTTCAAGGGGGCCGAATACTTTCGCACTGTATTTAAATGAAATGAGGCCAGATAGTAAATCATTGACAATGAAAAAACAACATATTTCCACATCTATTCTTCAAATCTTTACTGTCTTATTCAGGAGCCGTTTCTTGCCAGTTGATCCAGGTCATCCATATTTTCGGGGCCCAAAACCACTGAATGACTAAGATTGTCATTATCTTTATTTTATTTTTAGCGTTGTTTAGCGGAATGAAATGCCTCAGAAGTTAGTTTACCGTTTTTGGCTAAAAACGGCCAATAAGCTATATACTGTACAATATTGGAAGGTCAAGGCAAGTGTATTTGTATAGTACAGTTCGTTTGCAAGTCAACTCAATGTGGTTCACAAAATAAGAAAGACACAATCACACAACGCATTAAAATCATAATTAATCACAGTACATTCAAAAGAGTGAGGACCTAACCCTAACCCTTTCAGTTGTATGTGCAGCTAAACCTAACTGTTTCTAACATGGATTTAAACATTGTCAGAGTAGAAGCCTGTCCTCAGATTTGAATTACATATATCTGAAGCGTTGCCTCCCCAATACACTGCAGTATCAGTACCTAAAACCTTTTCCAGCCTGGTTCACTCCTAGACAAACGAGAAGCTGTTTTTCTATCAGTCAAGATCTGATGTTTTATAGTTCATTCATTCATTCATTTTCATCCCCTTTATTAGTTCATTTCTGGGTCAGGGGGTTGGTGGCAATCAGAACTACCACCCAATGCTCATAGCAGCAGTCCCTCACTGATCCTCCTTCAGGCGGTGAGTCCACATGAAGAGGGCGGCTCCGTTAGCGGTGACTTAGCCTTGGTCTTTCAGCAGGGGCTTCGGGCAACGTGGGATTAAGTGTCTTGCTCAAGGACACAACGACAGCAGACATGAGTGGGAGCAGTTGGAGTAGACCTCATGGGGGGTAGCGAACCTGCAACCTTCAGGCCCAAAGACCGATGCTCTACCAACTGAGCCACTGTCACCATTTATTTTCAAAGCGTACAGTAAAACTAAAGTTTAACTGGAAAAAAAGAAATTTGCAGTCATGTTGATGGTGCTTTCTTGCTTCTTTACTAACCCCAATAATGTGCATGAACTGTGCTTATTTGGCTTTGAAAATTCGCATATCTTTCACCCTGTTGTTGACCACTACGGCCGCTGACAGACCCTCCATGTCCCCCTCTCCTCTGATTATACATGACAGTTCCCTTATCCTCTCCAAAGCGCCACCGCCACCTGTCATCCTTCTGCCACTTAACGTAATGCACTGTGAATGCGTGGCTTGTGTTCCCGTGTTTCCATGAGGATTACAGACTTCAAATGCCCAGTGCTCGTGTCTCTGTTTATTTGCAAAGTCTCAGCCACCTTCCAGACCAGAGCACAGCAGCTCTAATTACTGCCCTCTGAAACATGACTCTATAAAGTCAATGGGCTTCATTATAGTGGTATTAGGGGACAGATGCCGTCGCTGGTGGCAAACGAGGACCACTTGACCAGACCCTAGAAGTGCCTGAATAAACAGCTTTCTCTCGTTCTCTTTCATTCAGTCTGGACCTTTGGAGACTGCAGCGAGATTACAACCACCTGGGTCCTGCGTCCAGCCCGGCCCCGTGCCCCAAACATTTTAATCATGGATGAAATTCATTTATATGTTGCGATAATTGTGTCTAATTGTTTCTTTGAAGGAGAGAGAGGCCGGCTGCATCTGGTCCACATATGGCCCAGTTCTCTGTGAGGGTGACTTTGTGCCCAGCAGGAAGTCCAGGCCCTAATCGTCTCTCTATCAGCAGCCATATGACCAGTGTGTGTGTGTGTGTGTGTGTGTGTGTGTGTGTGTGTGTGTGTGTGTGTGTTATTGAGAAGTCTGCAGCCACATGCACTGTGAGGACCTGTTCCTCAGACTAAAGTAAATCAGCAGCTGGACTCTTGGGTCTACAACTTATCCAGATGGATCACAGTTATCACACGCATGCACACACCCGTACACACACACAGTCACACTCACGCAAAAACACAGACATACACACACTCAAACACGCACACCCTCACACACACACAAAAGCTGGATCAAATCAAAACACTAAAACAAAAGTAACATTGTAACGTACATACTAACACATGTTTTGAAATGTGCGATCAGTTTATATGTTTTTACTGCCATTAAACTTACCCTTTGCTTGGGTGATAAAGTAGTGCAGGTGCTATATTAATAACATTGATGTACCTACTTAAAACTCACATTGTTAAGGAACGTGCTTGTCCTTCCACATTTGTGTGGGTCAGAGGCTTTCTCTTTGAATTTATTTTGAGCACTTAAGACTGAACGCTTGTTTCAGAAACGATTACCTCTCCACGCTCTTATATCAATTTACGTATTCTTCCTCAGCGTACTATGTAACTTAACCTTCTGCCACGCCTTCACCACAACACTAAAACCTCACAACACTAAAACCTCACCTTGAGGGCTAAACGTCTCTTGGAATTCAAATTTCTCTACATGATGATATTTGTAACCAGGTAAAAACATAGTGAATTTGTCCTCTCCTCTTTGTGAATGAAGTCTCACCTGATCCTCCTCACTTCCCCGTCTCAGGGACACACACTGTCCCTATTGATGCCTGATTATTTTTCTCCGGGCCTCTCCTGAGTGATCTCTCCTCCTTCACGCTGAGAGTCTGTCAGTCAGGGCTGCTCCCGTCCACACCTCTGAAGCCAGGTTGGTCCTTGAGTGTCGTTGATGCTGACATGTCACATCTGGAAGCCTTTCTCCTGTCTGAGCCTCACATTTGAGCCTTTTCTCTCTGTTGGTGTTAGAATGTGAAAGAGGAGCAAAGGCATCTACGGCTGAGGACGACTGAGAACGGACTCTATGGCATCACTTTTCCTCAATAGGAGCGATTTGATGTGATTTGATCCGTGTCATGTTCTCCTGCTATTATTTTCATGAAACATAAGTGTTTCACACCTTGTGTTCTCTGGAGAAAGGTCACAGAAGTGAAACCCACAGTTTCAAGGATCATGGA